CCGGCATCATGGCGCCAGCAACGCCGCAGAAAACGACAAAAACCGCTAAAACGGCTTGGACGGATACTGCTACGGTTGCCATGATCTTCAAGACGATGACGACGGAGCGATAATGGTGCTCCTTCAATCAGGGCACTCTACCCGATGGGTCTTGCTGAAGAGCTGAAAGCACAGCGGAAAAAACAGAAAGCGCGCCGAAGGCGCGGGACCTGCCTCGTTGTTCAGCGCGTGCTGAACAACAAAAACAAGATACAGAAAACCTGCAACACGCGCTATTTATGCAAAAGACGATCCTGAGGACACGGATCGCCGGCCTCAAGTCGTACCACTTAAAACGGCCGTAAGGCCCTACGCCTTAGCTAACCCGGCTCAAGCTTCGCATAGCCCGCAGTAATTTTTAGCATTACTCATACTACATTCTCATCTTAGATATCTCAGTATTAATTTCATTTTGGCTCATGCCAGGTTACCGACATCGGTTACCGATTACTGGGGACGGTTAACGGATAACGGTTCGCCCGGTAATCCTACCGACCGGTTACCGATCTCGTTAACTGGACCCGTTAGGTCGGAACCGGGCCGGAACCGGCCTGGAGTATGCCATAGGGAAGTTCTGCTTATAAGTCGCGTCCCATAGCTAACCAAACTCAAACACAAGGAAGTCCTGCTTGCAAGTCGCGTCCCATAGCTAACCAAACTCAAACACAAGGAAGTTCTGCTTATAAGTCGCGTCCCATAGCAAACCAAACTCAAACACAAGGAAGTTCTGCTTGCAAGTCGCGTCCCATAGCTAACCAAACTCAAACACAAGGAAGTCCTGCTTGCAAGTCGCTTCCCATAGCTAACCAAACTCAAACACAAGGAAGTCCTGCTTGCAAGTCGCGTCCCATAGCTAACCAAACTCAAACACAAGGAAGTCCTGCTTGCAAGTCGCTTCCCATAGCAAACCAAACTCAAACACAAGGAAGTTCTGCTTGCAAGTCGCGTCCCATAGCTAACCAAACTCAAACACAAGGAAGTCCTGCTTGCAAGTCGCGTACCATAGCTAACCAAACTCAAACACAAGGAAGTCCTGCTCCGGCATCGGCCGACTGCCCGATGGGGTCCATCCCAAGCGTTTCCACGATGACTTCGGCCATGTCCCTGGCGAAGCCCAACCCCGTCAATTTTGCCAGCTTTTGACGCTTCTGCAGAAGGTTAACACCATTGGGAATAGAACAGGCATGGAACGCGACTTGGTGTAAATGTGAGAAACGTGCACCATTGGTGCCAGTTCTTCAGTCAGACGCAGTCCAACCCCGTTCTTACCTTGTCCGGCCCATGCACATCCACACCCAGGGCACCATCGGATGCCATTCTGGAAGAGATAACAAACGGTCGTCGGGCTGTTACTAGCTTGCGCTTAAGAAGGTGGGCGTCTTCCAAGACGAAGTTTGGGACACTTTGAATAAGACCCGAACGTAATCTGTATGCAATCTGCAGACCCTACTGGGGGACAAGTCCGCAGGAGGCGTATCAACATGCAAGACGTTATCAACAGCAAGCCGGTTTGGGGGTCCAAGTACAGCCTGTCACGCTGACTAGTTGGACAAGGCTGTATGCTCTTCTGCGTGAAGGCATAATGACTTCACCAGGAGAGCAGCAAGAATGAAGTCGCCACTGCGACACAGTTGTACGACAGCACCACAGAACCAGCCTTAGAAGATCCGGTCGCTTCGCTCCGTCGCATCTAAGCCAACAAAACGTTATCAACAGCAAGCCGCTTTGGGGGTCCTGGCTCAAAGTGAGGCCCACCCTGGAGTTAGTTGTTAAGCTTTCATGTTACTTCCTCATACAAACTGCTTCTCTAGTACTGTGATGTTTTATTGGTTATATTCATGCAAACTGAGCTGAAGTTGCAAGGCGCGAAGATGCTGGCCGCATCATGCCGCGCCGCATTCCCAAGCCAGTATGCACAACTCCACGTTTGCAGTCTTTATTGTTTTGTTTTGTTGTGGCACAACTCCACGTAACTCTGCACATTATAGTGCATAGGAGCAATTCTTGCGCAGAAGTCCAAGTCGACTCAAAAGCATTCCAATTGGACTGTCTGGCTTGATGTAATGTTATCAGGTTGTTTATCGTAGCGCTTTGGCGCACCCAACGTGGAATGTTGGCGCCGGAATGTGCAGCTGAACTCCTGCGCTATGAACCTGAACCAATGGTGCACGTTCCCAGCCATGGACATTTTGACAGAACACCCTTGTACGTTCTGCCATTCTAACCACAGCATTATAATTTGTTGCTGTGGCCGTCCTTCGAACATAACAGTCCTTCCCCCCTTAGGACGCGCGATTTGCAATAGCAGCCAGTGTGCAATTAGATACGTAGACCTCTGTGATGCGAGTTCTTCCTCAGTCGAGATCCGCTTCAACGAGCGTTTGTCGCTTCAGTCTGCTTCGGAACGAACACAGCCGGGCGGAATTTGACGCTAGAGGAAATAAGCCATAGAGCAAGAGAAAAATATCTCGCGGAAATAGAAAATAACCCTGGTCATTCCCCTGATTTACGCCTAAAGAGAAAGCCGATATTACAGCACCTGTGTAAACGTAAGGAGTAGGTTTGTAGCTGGCAAGGGATGGGGATGGGACCCTGGCTGACAGCTTTCGGATCTGAACACAGCTGCAGGATGGGGATGGCCCTGGTCGAAGGGATTGGGAAGGGACCCTGGCTGGCAGGATGAGGATTGGGGGAACACAGCTGCAGGATGGGATTGGAAACCCTGGCCATAGGATTGGGGATGGGACCCAGGCTGGCAGGATGGGAAACCTGTCTCAAGGGATGGGATTAGCACCGGGCCCCTAAGATGGGAGATGGGAGTCGGCCACCCCAGCCAGGATGGGGGGATGGCTGACCACTACCACCCCCCGGGATTGGGGGATTAGACCGTTTTTGCAACCCTCTGGCTGCGGGATGTATGGTGAATGTGTATGGGGCAATACGGGCTCCGATAGGTGCAGCGACTAGAGGTTGCACATCAGGTGCTGATGCATATTCAGCTTAGGTTACGTGGCGGCCGGTTGCATAGGTGCACAGTGCTGGAAACCATTTTTCCTGCAGACGGAAGAAATGGCCAATGCCTGACACCCTAAGAAAGAAAATAAAAAATAAGAAAGAAAGAAAATAAAGAATAATAAGGAAGAAATAAAAGAAAATCTGCGTTATCTTCATCTAAAAGGTCAACTGCTTCCCCGGCAACCTGGAACGTACCAGGGAAATTCCAAAAGGTTCAAGATTACAGGTGACCGGCTTTTCAAATCCGGAAACGGGCTCGGCCCCGGTGCAGCCATTTGACCCCAGTTTGATTCGCAGGGCAGTCCGTACGGCATAGGAGTGCAAGCACAAGAACGCCGCCACGTTTGGAGGACACACTTGTTATTGAAATCCTCAAACCGTAAAGGTCGGCAGACTTGCGACGGCGGTGTAGACCTGTCTGGATCGTCGCAAGCGCGCAGCCGCCATAGCATAATCATTATTGACTGAACTGTTAGCCTTCTCGTGATGCTGCAATCCGTAGAATGACATACACACAAAGCACGAGTGTCATTGCGGCAACGTGTGTTGCCGCTGCTGCGCCAAATCCATGAGTCGGGACTGTCCGATACGTAGGTGGTACTACCGTTGCATCCATGTTAGACGCCGGCCCTTCTGCTGGCCTATCCATGCCTAGCACAGCATCCACCGCCACTAGCTCTATGACCACCGCTGCCGCTGCATTGGCTTCATCTCGACACACCCGCAACCGTGTGGGTGGCTCCTCCTTCACCAACATCGCCGGGTCCATGCCGTATACACATTTGCAAAAGACATTTGCCCGGACACACGTGCCAGAAGTCGCAACCCTCAAGCGTGCTCACCTCCAGGAGACACAGTGGTAGCAGCAGGACCGCTCACGTTGCAGCCCCAGGTTCATGCGGGCGGAATAATGAGAAGCAAGCAGAGAGAGAGCGTGTGTTTGGACACGTCAAGCATGGGACCTGCCAATGATCGGGTCATATCGAAGCGGCGAGCGATGCTTGCCAAGGGAAAGAAAGCAAGGCGGGGACGGGAAGTTGATTACGAAATGCAAAGTAAAACCAATGGCGTGCGCGTGAGCACATACCAAAACCGAGCAGTACCATGTTTAGCAGGTGGCCAGCAGCTCTGAAAGTGAGATCATCAAAAATAACCGAGGTTCGCTGCACACTAGAAACCTTTCCTAAAGTTTACTAGTTTACAAGTTCCGCACAAGCACTTGTGCGGGGTGTCCGCAAAAGCCGGGGGCCCCATGGACGGTAAATCGTTTTTAGTGCGGTTACACGGTGGACCATCATCGTCCTCCCTCGTCCGCTTGAGCACGAAGCGCCTTAGAGCAACGTGCCGGGTCTCCCAGACTTCCGAGAGGAACCTGGCTAGTGCCAGGAGTGGGGTCATAATCATGCGCATGTCGCGCCCTTGAAACGCGAGTTCACGTTCGTACTTAGCCCGCGTAGTAGTGTACGCCGGGCATTCCACACGAGCATGCATCTCGTCTTCAACCGCCCCACAGTCGCAAAGCCTGCAGGTGCGCGCTGTGCGCTCACGGCCGCTGTGCGCCCACGGCGGTTGCCTTTCCTAAAGTCTTTGGGTGTAATCCCAGTGCGGATCAACGTCGCGGATTAACCCTCTGTCCTCCATCGATACTTGCTCAAACGGATAGGTTGTTGGCAAACTTACCTCGCCTTTCCAACCTTTGGTTCCCTTATGAAAGGAAACTATGTGGTAAGCTCGTACCAAGGACTTCCGTGCCCTAATCCCTGGCCTTAATCCGCACTGGAAATACATTTACACCCTTTGGTGCGCTGCCGCGGTTGCTGATGCTACTGCTGCTGCTGCTACTGATGCCGCCGTCTGCCAACCATGATTGCTCGATGCTCACACACCCGCACGAACGACCCAACCCTTTCCCAAACCACAAAATAACCCGCCGACCTTTTCTACGCACCATCGTATACCCAATCACCCACTCGCCTTCACCTTCAGCATTCTGAGGCACGTCCAGGCCCAGCAACGAGTCCCTCGCGCGTCCCGAGGGCAACATGCCCCGTCCAACCACGCCTATGAAGTAGCCACATCATGGGGAAAGGGAGAGGGACAAGGAAGGGACACAGAAGGTGGTCAGCAGGATGGCCAGGCAAGACGGACAACAACATGTACAGCTGTCGTACAGCTGGCGGGAAAACATAGTTGGGCATCACGACACGCGGGATGGCGGCTGAGCTCTGGCCAGAGCGGGCGTTTTGCTCAATACTGTATGACTGATATGGCTGTTACGGCTTCGGGCTGTGGAGGGGGGATACGGCGGCGGCGGTCATGGTGCTGGGTCAGACTGGATCACATCATGCAAGGTGGGAGCGTGTGTGGACGGGATATGGGGGGGATGTGTACGACAGATGCACATCCAGTCTGGGTCCGGCATACAGGGAGTCAACTAATCGGGCCCTACGGCTGTATTGCCGTACCATTCAGACTGCCGTACATTGTTCAGCACCTTTGTTTTATCGGGTTCTTCTTACGCTGATCCGCGAGATTGGGTGAACTGCTCAGACTGGTTTGGCCGGAGGCAGGCAGTATTAACCTTTAAAACATTGATACTGCCTGCCTCCGGCCAAACCAGTTTTAGTTTTCATGAGAAATCATCATACGTTAAAAAGGGTACCTGCAAGCAATTGAAATAAGTCTTCCTTTGGTAGGTATAGGCCGGGTGGAGGCTCCAGCTACCGGGAGGCTATCCACTAGGCCTGGACACCTAACGCCTCTCAGCAGCGACACCCGCATGTAGCTACGAAACCCGAAAAATACTCTATAGCACACCGAGCGACCTCCTTAACTGGCATTACATGCCGTACTAACACACACAACCAACTCCTCTGAGTTCAGAGAAAACCTGGGTTTTCTATCGTTACTCTCAAAAAACCTTCAGTTTGCCGGGGGCTTTGGAACTGACCTTTGATGTTTTGCTGTGCTGTTACTGCTGCTGCTGCTGCCGCTGCTGGCTGCCTCCGGCCAAACCGGTCTATGCAGTTCACCCAATCCTGCGAATCAGGGCAAGAAGAACACAATAAAAAAGGTGCTGAACAATGTGCGGCAAATGGAATGGTACGGCAACACAGTCGTAGGGCCCGATTACTGTATCCCGGGCCCAGACCGCATATGCACCAGTCGCACACATCCCCCCCGTGTCCCGTCCACACACGCTCCCACCTTGCATGATGTGCTCCAGTATGAACCAGCACCATGACCGCCGCCGCCGTATACGCCCACAAACCAGCGTGACAACGATATGCAACGCACATAAATAGGGGCAGAGTGCAATCATTCCTAATAGATCTGGTAGTCCTTGCCAATCCGCTGCGAGCCCCACCCCAACCCCACCATCCATTTACCTGCACGGCAAGAAACCATCCGTACGAGCAACAGCACGTGGATGACGTCGTCGGTCGCCTCCACCGCCTAGGAAATGACGGAAAAGGGGAAACACACAGTGCCTCAGACGGGGCTCACACGCCCGAAACAATCTTCTTATCTCCTCTACCTGTTAACTGCGTGATCTGAAGGCAATCGTAGGATCGACTGGATGTGCATGTCGTACTGGTACGTGTCCTGCGGCCAAGTAACGGGCAGCATGACAGGTGGCCTACTTGCCAATACGCCATGAACGCGAACCCGTCCGCTCCCTCCTCACCTGAACGGATAAAAAACCACCGGGCGACCATACGGATGTGCGACTATCAGACCGCGTGTTGTAGTCGTGTCCTCCGTTTCCACTTCATGCCAGCAGCGGCGATGCGTGCACACTCCTCCACCAGCCGCCGGATGAGCCGCCTCGTCCAGTAGTGGTGGTGGCCAGGGTACAACAAGGAGGACTCACAAGAAGATTGTCATACAGGCACACACCACACCACACACACGTACACACATCACACTCAGGGACTCGTCCATGACTCTCTGTCTGGCAATAACGGCACGTTGTCCTTGTCTGAATGCGAGCGTGCTATGGGCTATAAGCTTGGAGCTACTTATGCACCAGGGGTAGACGAGCAATCACGTCGTTATCTCTAGGGTATTGCGCCTGACGCATTTTGTACACAGTGAGTCGTACACCATGTGGCTGCTTGCCCATGTGGACGACTTGCTGATTGTGGGTAGCAACAAGGTTGAGGTTGTATGGATGAAGGAAAGGCTGATGGAGGAGTTTGATATGCGTGACCTGGGGGAGGTATCTCTCTTCCTCTTCCTGGGTATTGAGGTGGGCGGGTGATTGGGTCAGGGGTGAGCTGGAGCTAACGCCGCGGCACTATGCGGCGGAGCTGGTCCAGCGGTTTGGATTGTCTGATGCCAAGGAGAAGGTGGTTCCCCTGAGCCCAATCTGAGGGCAGCTAAGGCGGATGAGCCTGTGCTGGATGATGCAACGCGCTTTTGTGAGTTCATGGGCGGTCTGATGTACTTGTCTACCAGCACCCGTCCTGATATCGCCCAGGCTGTGTACAAGCTGGCGCGATACATGTTGGCACCCACTCAGCAGCACTGCGAGGCAGCAAAAGGTGTTCTGCGATGTGTGAAAGGCACGGTGCAGTACGGACTGCCGTACAAGCGCGGAGGTGTTAAGGTGGAAGGCTTTTCTGGTGCTGGTTGGGCAACGGACCGGGATAACCGCCATCCTACCAAGGAGTTTTGTGTTCCTAATGAATGGTGCGGTGGTTGACTGGAAGAGCCGCCTGCAGCCACCTGTGACTGCATCGTTCGTTGAGGCCGAGTATATCCCTGCAGCATTTGCTACACGAGAGGCGCTGTGGTTGCGCAAGCTGATGTGCTATTTGGATCTTGAGCAGGATTGCATGCTCATCTGGGATGACAACCAGGGTGCGCTCAGCCTGATCAAGAACCATGTTACCACGGAGAGGCGGTCGAAGCACGCCGACGTGGTACATCACTTTGTTCATGAGCAAGCTGAGCGGGGTGAGGTTCGGTTCGAGTCTTGCCCCACTGAAAGTATGGTGGCAGATGTGCGGACGAAGCAATTGCCTGAGAGCAAGTTCGTAGTCGTAATGGATGTGAGGTGATGAGTGACGGACGATGATGGTGTTCCGTCCGAGGGGGAGTGTTGAGGTACGGTCGGAACATTGGTGAAAGATGTTAAGTGTTCGTTATGGATGATCTGTGGTAAATGCATCGTACGACACAAGTACTACGATATATCCTGCTAATTAAGTAGAGCCAATGAGCAGAGCTAAGCTTGGGAGCACGTATAAGTAAACACGAAACGGGATCATTTCCTACCCGACTGCATGTCGCATTCTAACAGGTCATGAGCCCCGATAGCGCTGAGGTCGACGATTCGTTTCTCACTGGCTGTAGTCCGGAGCCGGGATGAGGTATGGGGGGATTCCCCTACAATCAGGAAATGGTGAAAGCAGTTTGAGGACCTGGGAGGCGTCCGGCGCTTTAAACACACACAGTCATTACAGCTAGCTAGCAAGTATGTCCAGATGGCGCAATTCTATTACGGCTATCAACCATGTGGAATGGAAAGTCCCATAGCTCACCACAGCATCGGAGTTTGCGCCGCGCCTGCTGTTGGTCAATTGCAGTTGTTGGTTTCGTAGCACTACATGATTGCCTCGCAACAACCACCTCCCTTCCACACTCCAGTCTCAGGTATCAGCTTCACGAGTCGTCTGTGGTTCGTCGTCCTCGCCCCAATGCAGGGCATACCTTTTCCATGCTGGTTCAATACAGTACTACGCCTCTGTGCTCAATGCCGTGAACTACCCAAGCCGCCTCAAGGCAGCCGAACAACCCTGCCTGTAGGGCACGCCTGTCTCAGCATCCGTACTACCTCAACCACCGCCCTGTATATCGCGCGTGTAAGATATAGTCCTAACCGCCATAGAGAAGATACAATGGCCCTGAACGCGACCGGCTCCCGAATCAGGTCAGCCACCAGGCATGGACAGTGGACTATCAGCTGTCGCAGATCTTCTTCCCCCAACACCACGCTCTTCCTCTTCCGCAGCAGCCGCAGCTTGAGCTGTGGCACCAATGACGTCATGCTGTGCTGCTCCGCCCAGACAAGATCCGAAAGCACCGACTGGGGGGTCACCTTCGCCAGCAGCCACTTCTGCAGCTGCCCCACACAATCTTGTGGCATCAAAAGCCGATCCGCGAGAAGTACGGCAGGCCGCAGCAGCTCATCTGGCATGTACAGCTCCCCCGTGTACATGTAGGCCAGCAGCCACTGGAATGCAGCCGGGTCGGCATCAGGCAACTTAACATCCTCAGCACCACTGTCTGCGAAGCCGCCTCCCGGCACCAGCAGCTTCTCGAAGTACTGACTGTGACTCACAAGGGCCGAACGATGTGCCACGAAGACAGTGCCATCGCGCGTGTGAATATTGACGGTGGCTGGGTTTACATCCGCCCCTGCTGCACACAGCAGGAGTGTCCGGTGCAGCTTGGAGAGGGCAGCAGACGGCCTTTGCCTAGGCGCGGAGTGGCTAGCCTTGATGCCGCCTGACGTGGGGCTGCTGGGCCCCAGCTGGGGCCCTCGGATAATCCTTAGGCTGGAGTACTTAGTACAGAGAGCCAGCTCGCCACTGGGCAAGGCAGCAATAGAGCAGTGGTCTGTTGGGAGCCCGGGAAGTGCCGTACTGATGTAGCCACTAGCACTCATGATGCGGAACTTGTCATGATCTAGTATGTACAGCTGCTGATGTACACCAGCCAGGATGGCAGTGATGCGGGTAAAGCGTGCTTTAGTTCCGGGACCATCCGTGTTGCCGGTCGCCTGCCAGTCGCCAGCTACAAGGTTCACCTTCGCTTCAAGCTCACCGGCAGCTGTGTCCATTGGGGTGGTGCACTCTCCTCCGTTGGCATCAGACACATGCGCCGAGGCAGCAGTTGTAGTCAAGGTGATTACATCAATGCGGCAGATCGCACTGGCCGTCGTGGCAAATAGCACATCGGCATCATCATCACATGACAGCCCAGTCCACGAGCCGGTTGGCGGTGTGGAGCCGGTCAGGGTTGTCACCTGGCCACTTAGGATGTCCACTTTGCGGATGCGCTGGGCTTCCGCGACGTACACACTGCCCTTGCCGTCGGGTGCCAGGGCGGTGATGGCCGAAAACCGTGCCTCCCCCCGGTACCCATCACCACTGCAAACGGTCTCCTGCTGCGTGTACCTACGCAGAGGCGGCGGAGGATCATTACATAACAATGCATTCCTCGTCAGCACAGCATCCTCTGGAAATTGACGGGCGTGTGTGTACAGATAGATGCTCCTAGCATGTGAGCATGCGGAAATTGTTGATGACAAGCAGGGCTCTGATCTATTATGCCTACGTCAATTACGTATTGACATGGCGCCCGCTGCAGGTTCCCCCAGTGACCAGGACCAGCAGGTGCCCACGGCTGCCACGCGCTTACATGTTGCCGGCGACCACATCCACCACGTTGTTGCTGTCCAGTGAGCACACCGCGTGCCCCTTCACGAACAGCACGCAATTGGAGGTGGGCTCGTAGACCGGGTAGCGCACGTCGGTCAATGCCGTTGAAAGCTTAACATCGGAGCTCGAAGTGTATCGCCATCCACTACCCCCACCCCTGCTGCCGCTGCTTTCAGGACTGCAGTGCTGCAGCTCATGAACCCCCCTGTCATTGAACACGAATGTCTGGGTCTGGGTCGCCCAGGCGTTGCTGGGCCGTACCACTGCTCCAGGCCACTGGTTACTCGAATAGTGAGAGTAGGGGTTGGCTACCGTACTCGACACGGCATACATTCGAACTTATCCGTTGCTACAGCAGGCCAGCCAACAAGTCTTGATGCCGCTAGCGGCAATACATCAATCTCAGATACAAAAATACTCCCCAGGAACGACAGCAACTGTACCAGTTCCACAGGAAATTCAGACAGATAAGTACCAATGGTCGATTTAGGAGATGCCGCATTCAATACTTAAAGGTTGCGGATCTCAAACCGCAATAACTAAAACCACTTCCTTGTGCCATATCCGTCCTAGCATGCTGACGGGACCTACGAAGTTGTCCAACGTTAGGCAGTATTGGAGACGGCGATCGGTGCCCAGACCAACCGATGCGAGGCAAGCTGAGACGAGGCAAGACGAGGCAAGATGAGGCAAGAGTACCCTGGAGACATCGGGCAGGCCGAGACGAGTGCAAACAGCCTTTCGGTACACATCCCATATTGGGTGTGGGATGTTTCTGGCATGTGTGTGCCTGTTTGCGCAATCCAAATCCTAATGTGGTCCGCATGCAGTTACCCCCGTCCAGTTCTCCGGTCTCGTCTTCGGATGTAGACATGTAATATGATGCCCGCACGCGCAATGGCACTGCCTGACTTCCATTATGGGTTTTCGATTCAGGTCCGCCATCCGCGGTGAGCGTGCGAGTACGCGAGTGAATGTAGGCCTATACCGCTGCCGCCTTATTTGTAGTAACGAAGCACGGCACTGTCGACGGCACACACGACGACTGAGCACAAGCGGACCGCGTTCAGCTGGGAAACCGTGATATACTGACGAGGCGGAGTTGAAAGCGTTCGCGCAAAGCGGTATGACGGAGCGCCATTCCCAAAGCCCTTGGTCAAGATGCGGTTGGCAAGGGCACGTAATCGTTTTCGTCATCCTGTTCGGCCGTGCTCCGGTCCTTACGCCAACTGGCTATCTCAGGTGTGGCCATTAGGAGTTAGGATCATCACGCCGCATCAGATTTCCCTGGTGGTGCTATTAAAGAAAGCCGCGATCTACGGGCGCGTCGTCCTTGCACGGGTCTGCACTTTTACGGTTTTCAATCTTCCGTGGCCATGCTTTCCTTATGAACACCTCCACTAAAGCGTTTTACAGATAGAGAACCCTTTCACTTCGGAGGTCCCACCGTAACTTGTAATGTCTCGCCAATGCACTCCTTGCGCCGGTTTTCAGTGAGGTCCCTGCGCATTCCAGCTTTGCCATTTCCCTCTTCACCTGGACAGGTCCGTTGTCACAATGCATGAACTGTGAGCTGCACATTGTGGAACCGGTTCCAAGCTCCTTTCCCTGTAAGACATCAGCGAGCATACCTGTTGGCCTGCAGGCGCCGGTCAGTACCTTTTAGCTTATACCCACATAAGTTATAGGTCGAAGATAAAAGCTTGTTATCATTTTTTAAGACGATGGTGTAGGCTGTCAGTCTTGAAACCTTCCACAACAGGCCTTCCACGACTGGCAGGTTTTACCTTGACTCATCTGACGTTCCACATCCTTGAGTATGGTCTGGCTACGCCTCGCCAGTCAAGCTCAATCGGAGCAATACTGCGGCACCTGGGAAATAACCAGCCGTGAAGACTTATCCTGGTCAAAGGATGATCCATGAGGCATCTGACATGCTAGGTGGGTCAGCTTCCACTGGAGCACTGCCGGAAGGTTTACGTAGAACAGCAGCTTTGAAGTTGCTGCCTTCGAGGCCATGGGTATTTCACAACTGATTCCATTGACAGCAGCAAAGCGTCCAGTCAGCGCAGCAGGCCGCCAGCCAGACACGAGTGTGCATGCGTGTGCGTGTATGTGTGTGGGGTGGGAGGAGGAAATAGGCGAGTGTGGGGGGACCGATCTGTTGCGTGATAGGGTGCTTGGATTTCCGCACACCTCTCCAACATTGCTGCTTGTGCATAACGGTTAGGGAGGTATGCGGCCACGGTTGCTACACAACGGGTAGCGGCCAGGTTGGTCCACATCTCCCCCTCCAGCTGCACCGTCGTTGCTACCCTCATTACTGCTGACACCTGTGTGCTCGCCTTCTGCTCCCCTCTTTGACACCGGGCTCTTCCGCCATAATCACCCCTTGTTGAGGAACCTCCTGCACATCCTCAAGCTGTTCATTCTGTGCGGGGAAATCCGCCATCAGAATCTGCTCACCAGGCTCGTTCCCCACCCTGTACTCATCATCAATACTGTCACTGCCGTCCTGTCATCGATTCTTGTGCTCCTTTTTGGATGGGCCAGCCTCATCACTTTACATACAAGGCGTTTCGTCAAAAACGACATCGGAGCTTACTTTGACTTATCGCCTGCAAGCAGGGTGGTCTGGCGAAGTCCTGCAGGTAGCTTGGATGCTGACTAGACGGCACAAAAATGGGCAAGTCGTAATGCGCAGCAACTAGCAACCCACGAAAGGGGCCAAGATTCCCTCCAGGCAATCAATCAGCAGCAATAAAGGTTTACCTTACCGACTGAGTTTGCCCGGCGTGAAGGATATGGGCGTTGAGAGGCCCACACAGGAGTTCGGCTGGTTTAGGGATGTTACCTATGCGGTGTACACAAGGGAGGACCGCACAGGGCTTATTGTCTAGCTCAAAGAACCTTACAATGTTCTGATTAGAACGTTCTGATTAGAGCCGTAAAGCGGTCTTAGCAAGCTCGCTGTCGGCTATAAAAACCGAAGTCACGCTGTCGATCACAGGAGGCAATCAAAAGGTAGCATACGCCCCCGGACTGGGGACGAGCGTACGGCAGGGTCCAGTAACATGAGCTCCGCCGGACCGCCAACGAACGCCAACCGAACGCGCCACGAGGAGGAGGTTAAACATATTATACATTATTTATATTATACAATATATATTATGTCTCCTTATGGATTTTGTTTTGCGTCATGAGCCGGACGCCTTGCCGAATTCCTCGGCCCGACCCCTTGCACGTCCTCTGAAATCTGAAAGATAACGCATTGAAATATGGACGTTGAAATACGTTTGGTTAAGTTTAAAGGTTGAAAAGTGGTCAAGGCGCGGCCATGTTACCTGCCAAGTAACCGTCTCAAGCCGAAAGCCGAAAGCCAACCAGTTAGCTTTGATAAATAGAAACTAATAACACTACTGATGGGCGACGGGGCCGGTCGATGAGGCCTTCGAAGGCCGCGTTGTCGCGATGCAGTCTCTTGGGGTACAGCGGCCGTCGCCCGTCTGGTCAGCCGGCCGGGGAGATGGCCTAACCTTTATCTGACACGCCTAGCGCGGGGCACGGGGGCGCGGGGCACGGGGCGCCCCCCCTACTTGGGGGGTAGGCACCTCCCAGTAGGTGCCCCTGCGCGTCCGTATCCCCGATATCTCGCCAGCCCCTGCTTTCCCCCATGCGCCGCGCGTACCTACAGCTGCGTTATGATTATATGCATGCATTGGCTGCGGCGAATCGGCGCGCGAAGCCCCGGCGGGACCGAAATGCGACATTACATGTTCCTGACCCGCCTAGCATGAGTTGGATCCTAGTAGGTGCCCCTGCGCGTCCGTATCCCCGGAATGTCGCCTGCCCCTGCTTTCCCCCATGCGCCGCGCGTACCTACAGCTGCGTTATGATTATATGCATGCATTGGCTGCGGCGAATCGGCGCGCGAAGCCCCGGCGGGACCGAAATGCGACCTTACGTGTTCCTGACCCGCCTAGCATGGGTTGGATCTAGTAGGTGCCCCTGCGCGTCCGTATCCCCGGAATGTCGCCTGCCCCTGCTTTCCCCCATGCGCCGCGCGTACCTACAGCTGCGATTTGATTATATGCATGCATTGGCTGCGGCGAATCGGCGCGCGAAGCCCCGGCGGGACCGAAATGCGACCTTACGTGTTCCTGACCCGCCTAGCATGAGTTGGATCCAGTAGGTGCCCCTGCGCGTCCGTATCCCCGAATGTCGCCAGCCCCTGCTTTCCCCCATGCGCCGCGCGTACCTACAGCTGCGTTATGATTATATGCATGCATTGGCTGCGGCGAATCGGCGCGCGAAGCCCCGGCGGGACCGAAATGCGACCTTACGTGTTCCTGACCCGCCTAGCATGGGTTGGATCCAGTAGGTGCCCCTGCGCGTCCGTATCCCCGAATGTCGCCAGCCCCTGCTTTCCCCCATGCGCCGCGCGTACCTACAGCTGCGTTTGATTATATGCATGCATTGGCTGCGGCGAATCGGCGCGCGAAGCCCCGGCGGGACCGAAATGCGACCTTACGTGTTCCTGACCCGCCTAGCATGAGTTGGATCTAGTAGGTGCCCCTGCGCGTCCGTATCCCCGGAATGTCGCCTGCCCCTGCTTTCCCCCATGCGCCGCGCGTACCTACAGCTGCGTTATGATTATATGCATGCATTGGCTGCGGCGAATCGGCGCGCGAAGCCCCGGCGGGACCGAAATGCGACATTACGTGTTCCTGACCCGCCTAGCATGAGTTGGATCTAGTAGGTGCCCCTGCGCGTCCGTATCCCCGGAATGTCGCCTGCCCCTGCTTTCCCCCATGCGCCGCGCGTACCTACAGCTGCGTTATGATTATATGCATGCATTGGCTGCGGCGAATCGGCGCGCGAAGCCCCGGCGGGACCGAAATGCGACCTTACGTGTTCCTGACCCGCCTAGCATGGGTTGGATCTAGTAGGTGCCCCTGCGCGTCCGTATCCCCGGAATGTCGCCTGCCCCTGCTTTCCCCCATGCGCCGCGCGTACCTACAGCTGCGATTTGATTATATGCATGCATTGGCTGCGGACCCCTTATCGTGACCCCTCTGGGCAGTCTGCCACAGGAGAAGCATGCACAACAGGTCCCGCAGGAAGACCAGTCGGGGCAAAGCTTCATCAGTCACCACCACCTGCGACCACAAGTAGCCCACGAGAGCACGGTACTTGTCATAAGACAAGGGTACGGCCGAAACCTCGGTGTAACCCCCGGCGACCTGGGACCACTGATACGAAGCTCGGAAATCCTCAACCCAGATGCAATCGCAAGGGTTGCCTTGGCCGGTGGAGACGTCGAATCGACCACC